TGGTCGCTTTGGGGCCCTGGATCTTTCTGCCTTGTTATTTAAATGATTCCTTAGATCCTTAGTTTCCGCCTCCCGGGCGGGGAGCCCACGAGAAAAGAATGAGTCTCTCGACCTTTCGCCGGAGGCGGCAAATTCGTTGAGCCGGCTTAGGACTTTCACATTGTCCTTTTCCAACTGTCGTAATCGATCCCCAAACTTTTCTTCGATCACCTCCTCCAGTTGATGAGCCAAGGGGGCGGATCCTCCTAACCTGATGCCCATACTGGTTTGAGGAGTAAGCCCCCTTGACTGAATAGAGGCATTTCTAGTCCCATCAGTGTGATCCCTCCCTCCATGGTGACATGAAGCTCGTAATTCAAGACTTATTTGCTAGGGACCTTTTCCTTTTTGTCGAGTATTCACCATGATCACTGTTCTTTATAGAGAAGAAATTAGGAAAACTAGTCGTTTCCCATAGACGGTGCCAGATTGTGCGTGCTAGATCTTGCATAATATAAACATGAGAACATATCTCTCCCTTGGCGAACTCGAGTGAGTCAGTCGAGTGGTCAACCCTACTACTTAGAACAGCCTGTGAGGTCCGGTGGTAGCTTGGAATGATAATAGGAGACCCTCGTGGATCAACAGAATGATCCAGTAAGGCTGAGGAAGGTTCCTAGAACAGAGAAAGACAAGTTAGAAGGGTGCTAGAGTATTTTTCAGCGTATCCCCTCCGACGATCAAGTCAGTTTTTGAGAGAGAGGAAGAAGAAAACACTGAGTATATGTTTGAGAAAAGGTCTTCACCTTCCTCCACTTGCCTTTTGTGAGGAGTATCTATACCTCAAAAACTCATGATTGCTGTCAGTGTGGTCAGTAGGTGATCATTAGATACGGGCAACGTGCGCACTGATTCCTATGAGGAATGTCTTTTCTTTTAACTGCTCGGTATCCCGAGCAACTAGGGCTGTGTCATCGGCCTGCCGACTGTTTTATGAGCTCCTCTCGACAAGGATATAATAAATGTCCAGCCTTAGGGACATTTATTACCTTTCACTTCCGAGCCTTACCGCATTATTAATGTTGTCTCATCAAGGAAATAACGTAATTAAATGCTTGCTTTCCCAAGTCGTGTGTCAGCAAGGGTATCCAGTTTTTTTTGTCTCTAATGTGACACAATATGCCATGCGTCCATTCCCCATTGGTTGTGTCCCCTGCCTTCTTGTGCCTTCTAACACCAATTGTGTAAGACGAGGTTATGATGGCTAACCTAGCCTAGCCTAGGCTAGTGACCTGTACATCAATAGCCTCTGCAGGAGCAGAGAACGCCATCCTGGACGGGTACATCTCGGTACCGAGGGGAGTGGTACATGTAGGGACCAATGTACCATATCTGACCCGAGGGATACGTGTCGGTACGTAACGTACTGGGTGTCATTGATTCCCATGAATAGTACCTCGGGGGAACAGGGACTTGTGATCCGACAGGTGCGTGTCGTGATTATAGTAAAAGAATTTACTGATGCCGAGGACACGTGTCTTCATCTTGAAATACTTGAAAATCTCCCATCAATAATATATATATATATATATATATATATATATATATATATATATAATTTTTTTTTCTCTTGCAGATTTGTAAATGTTTTTCATGCAGTTTTGTTTTTTAAAAAAAATTTCATGCAAATATTTTTAATTTTTTTGTGCAATTTTCTATAATTATATTCATGCAATTTTTAAATTTTTTTTCATGCATGAAGTTTTAATTTTTTTCATGCAGTTTTTTAAAAAAAAAATTTTCCTGCATTTAGTTTTAATTTTTTTCGTGAAAATTTTTATTTAATTTGTTCGTGCACATTTTAAAAATTTTTTTCTTTCATTTTGTTATGTCAATAGGTTGTGATGTATTATTGTAGGATTGATATCTTCTTCAATTGTTGGTGAAGGCAGAGAGACATAGGGGAGGAGGAGTTTGACATAAACGTGATTTCTANTATATATATATATATATATATATATATATAATTTTTTTTTTCTCTTTTAACAATCATTTCCCCCAATATTTCATATCTTATGCGTTTATTTCTAGCTTTTTTAATTGGTCTCTTTAAATTATAAAATGGTTTTTTGTTTTTGCAAATTTAGAGTAATTAATAAAATGAAAATACATTATTCTTTTACAAAAGATTACACGACTCTATTCTCTCATTTTATTTGAGCTTGGAAGGCTTCAGCCTAGTTAGACAGTTTTATGTTTCAGAATTTTATATCTTAGTTCATCTTCAACTTAGTATAAACATTTATCAAAGATTTTCACCTTAAATATGCATGTTAAAATTATAAATTTTGATATTAAATTTTCAAGAATAAAAAAAAGATATAAATATCAAGTTAAGCAAAGTGCTTTAGGACCTAGTCTAAAATTTTAGCCCTAAGCCTCAAATACTATTCGATCGGCCTTGAAGCCTATGTGTTGATGGTTGGTACAACCGTTGCAAAGAAGTTTTATGCACTCGAGCAAGTTGCCCGAGGAGAAGGGCAGCTTCTTCTCTATGCACCAACAAGACCAAGTTGCTTCACGAGGAGGACAGCTTCTTCTCGATAAACAAAGAAAAAAGGTAGCTAGTCTATGATGCGCTGATACTTCGCTTAAAAAGTCTTATACCTAATTGTGTGTAATTTTCTCGTAAAACTTAAATTTGAGACCTCGAGTCAGTAATCCCTAAGATGCTTCCATCTGACCTACTCTGGGAAATTTCATTTAACATTTATATTTTTCTATATTTTGACATTTCATGGAAGAGAGGGAGAGAGAGAGAGAGACACCCATCAAATATACTCCAATTGGACGGGTTTACTACCCATAAGACTCAAGGTAATGTTTGGAAACTTAATTAATCTTTTTAATTTTGTTTTTTATGTACTTTTTTCGAATATAGTTTGTATTTTCAGTTTTTTGTTTTTCTGTTGGGCTTCTGCTCTTCCTCTAATCTTAATCATGCGGGTCATACTATACGTATACAAATTCAATTCCACACTAAAATATAACTAGATGACTTTTACCAAAAAGTTAAATAAAATTATTAATTTTTTTAATAAATTATTTTTTACTTTTAGAAAATTAGAAAATCATTACCAAAAAGTGTTAATTTTTGTTGGACCTTTGTGGAGTCTAGTTTGTGTGTTGATCTGGATGATAACCTGATCCCGAAATAATGTTGCGTGATTTTTAATGAGAAATTTTCTGAGACTTGGTCCATGGAGTGAAGACTTGAGCCTGTTTTGTAGCCCGGTAGACAGGACATATAAAAAACCTACTACTTTGATGATTAGGGTTTGAGTGTGTAACTGTATAGCTGCGCTCTGTATTCTGCTATTTCAATTGTGAAATCCCTGCAACTTCATGGACGTAAACAAATTGTCGAATCACGTAAAATCTGTGTGTCTTGTTCTTTTTTGCTTCTCATTGTTTTATATTTTTGATTTGTTCTTCGATTATGTGTGTTTATTTGTGGATTTAAAGCATATTTGATCCCCAACAGTTTTGTTGCTGGAGTATTTGCCCTTTGGTGCGTACAAATTTTCTTATTTTTTCACGCACTATTGAAAAATAGAATGTCTCATAACAGTTATTCTCGAAAGTTAGCTATTTTATGTTATGTTCAAATAAAAATAAAATATATTGTATAACGGGAGTAATATTTAATGTTTAAAAGACACTTCACCCACATTTTGCCAAACACCATAGAATAAAATGCATGAACTGAATACCTTCACTTCCTCGCATCCTTCTTAGAACCACCTAGGTTACCAGCTCTGATGCTAGTTTTTTTTTTTTTTTTGAGCAAATCCTAACCATTAACTCTAACAAAGTCAGGGTCAGAAAAGACTTATTAACACACATACCCGAAATTATCTGAACTCTGATGCTAGTTTTAATGCTCACAATTCTATAATATATAATATTATTTATTTTGAATTAGACTTACATGATTATAAAATATGTTCTACAATAAATATTTTGGATATGGTATCTTAGTTTTTTTATTAAAAAAAAAAAAAAAAAACCTCGTGCTTTCTTAATAGTGCCTAATACCAAAAGTAAGATAATCATTGGAGAGACTAGTCAATGTTAAGGTGGTGAATTTAAAGGCAGGAGGGAGCAGTCTCAATGGCTGGGGAATCCAGATCCACGAGGTGATGTGCCAACTGTGAAATTGGGGCGTTGGTTTAGAATGCGTAGGACCCACTTCTGCAACAACTTTTGGTATATGTTGTTGACAGATTAGCTATATTTGGCCACTTGCCATGTGATCCATCCCACCAAGAGGACAAGTGAGAGACACTGTCCTTGTTGCAGTCCAAATCTTAGCCACAACATTGGGGTACCCCACAACCAGATGGGGTCCACTGGCATCTTCTAGCCGATGTACCCATGACAGATAAGATGCTTTTGTACAATAAGAGGCATAAACACTGCAATTATATTTGGCTGATCAAGGTTGGGTACTTGGTTCATTAGGCCCCATATGAAGATCAATATTGTGATCATGTCTAATAAAGAGATTTCCCTAAGAGAAAGAACTAGGGCCACAAATGTACAAAATGTTCATAAAGATCTTAAAATCGATTTAGAATTAAAACTCACTTAAAAGCTCCTTCAATAAGCAAGCTTATCTGAAAGGTACACACACACCCATATAAATAAACAAATTGAGCTTATGCAATATGTTTGAAACTCATATCCCAACCTAATTCCAAACATTATCTAGGAACAAACAAGTTTTGACAAAGCAATACAGTGCTTAACCCTATTCAATTAAGTTGCACCCTAGGGAGTACTCCATCCCGGTGGTGCTGGTGATGCCTTGCCCCACCTGTGAAGACTGGAAACGCAAATACTGTTGATTGGTCGCCATAGACAAAGATCGGAAAAAGAATGATAGAACTATGGATCACTCTATAACAAAGGACCAATCACCCTTTCTCCCTCCCCACACCCCTCCGTGCCATGACGACTCAAAGGAGAAGGGCGAGAACAGAAGTCTGGACTGCAGGGCCATCCAAATTTGCAGCAAAAGTGCTAACATCTTCCCGACAGAAGAGAACAAGTAGTGGAGCCTAGGACACAGGGAGTCATCTCAAGGGATGATGATCCTCGTGCTTGTACCTACGGAAGGCAACCAAACATCTAATAATGGGACATTTAGCCATTGGATGTATCCCATTAAGAACATCCAAATCTGTCACCTCACTGACAAGAAATAAATATAACAAGGCCTTTAATCCACAAGTTCATTGATAAATAAGTTACCGAAAAAAGACAGTTCATATCCTAGATTCCAAGAATCATAGCTAATTACTAGACAACAGAGCCTGGATGTTATCAGGCGTTGACAGCTCTGTACAAACGAATTGATTTCAAGCTTGTAATAGAATTGAAAGATGACAAACACGTCATCTTACCAGTTCTTTTCAGAGGTAGACAAGCCATTACAATGGCTAAGCACCTGGTACACAGGAAGAAGATATACAGCCAAATGGCCAAACAGCAATATTTCCCTTCACACAGACCACTTATTGACAGCTTGTGGTTTTTTTCACTATATCTCAAAACAAAAGAACCTGCGTTTGTGAATCAACATCCATCCATGCGACTGTTTCACCTTAAATCAATGACTTCAAACTTCAAGTTAGGATTCAAGTAAACATCTGTACATTGTTTGTAAATGGGGCCACCATCTGGAGGTGGATCGTGTGGATGAAATCCACGCTGTGGGCATTGTCTGATAACTGACATGCCTCCTGGAGTTGTTAACCGGAAAATCCCATGGGTTCTGCACATGTTAAAATACTATGAATTACTCCAGAAAAATTATAAAGTTGAGCCAGCAATGCTCTCCCCCATTAATACAGGTGATGGTTAGTTTTACCTTGAACTATCTTTCGGTGCCATGACAATTGCTATGGCCTCGGGCAACATAATCTGGAGAGAACGCAAGTATGTGTTCAGGAAAACAAGAAGCAGACAGACATAGGACCTGTTGTGTGACAACTATTTCCAAGGAAACAAAGATTGTCCCAACAATTGCTCCAAACTTTAAGAAATTAACTAAAACAGTGGTATACATGAAGTGCCAAACTAAATAGCAAAAACATCTTCCACCTGACTTCCTCATAGAACATAAGAATAAGAGAGGTCTAACGCTCCAAACCAACACTGAAGCATGACTAGTCATTTGGCTATCTACCATGCTACAGATCTAGATTAACTTGCCCAAAAGTAACCAACACAAACACATGGCTTCTTTGCAAACATTAGTTCCTTCAACAATAGCAGGGTTCCCCCCCCCCCCCCCCCCCCCCCCCCCCCCCCCCCCCCCCCCCCCCCCCCCCCCCCCCCCCCCCCCCCCCCCCCCCCCCCCCCCCCCCCCCCCCCCCCCCCCCCCCCCCCCCCCCCCCCCCCCCCCCCCCCCCCCCCCCCCCCCCCCCCCCCCCCCCCCCCCCCCCCCCCCCCCCCCCCCCCCCCCCCCCCCCCCCCCCCCCCCCCCCCCCCCCCCCCCCCCCCCCCCCCCCCCCCCCCCCCCCCCCCCCCCCCCCCCCCCCCCCCCCCCCCCCCCCCCCCCCCCCCCCCCCCCCCCCCCCCCCCCCCCCCCCCCCCCCCCCCCCCCCCCCCCCCCCCCCCCCCCCCCCCCCCCCCCCCCCCCCCCCCCCCCCCCCCCCCCCCCCCCCCCCCCCCCCCCCCCCCCCCCCCCCCCCCCCCCCCCCCCCCCCCCCCCCCCCCCCCCCCCCCCCCCCCCCCCCCCCCCCCCCCCCCCCCCCCCCCCCCCCCCCCCCCCCCCCCCCCCCCCCCCCCCCCCCCCCCCCCCCCCCCCCCCCCCCCCCCCCCCCCCCCCCCCCCCCCCCCCCCCCCCCCCCCCCCCCCCCCCCCCCCCCCCCCCCCCCCCCCCCCCCCCCCCCCCCCCCCCCCCCCCCCCCCCCCCCCCCCCCCCCCCCCCCCCCCCCCCCCCCCCCCCCCCCCCCCCCCCCCCCCCCCCCCCCCCCCCCCCCCCCCCCCCCCCCCCCCCCCCCCCCCCCCCCCCCCCCCCCCCCCCCCCCCCCCCCCCCCCCCCCCCCCCCCCCCCCCCCCCCCCCCCCCCCCCCCCCCCCCCCCCCCCCCCCCCCCCCCCCCCCCCCCCCCCCCCCCCCCCCCCCCCCCCCCCCCCCCCCCCCCCCCCCCCCCCCCCCCCCCCCCCCCCCCCCCCCCCCCCCCCCCCCCCCCCCCCCCCCCCCCCCCCCCCCCCCCCCCCCCCCCCCCCCCCCCCCCCCCCCCCCCCCCCCCCCCCCCCCCCCCCCCCCCCCCCCCCCCCCCCCCCCCCCCCCCCCCCCCCCCCCCCCCCCCCCCCCCCCCCCCCCCCCCCCCCCCCCCCCCCCCCCCCCCCCCCCCCCCCCCCCCCCCCCCCCCCCCCCCCCCCCCCCCCCCCCCCCCCCCCCCCCCCCCCCCCCCCCCCCCCCCCCCCCCCCCCCCCCCCCCCCCCCCCCCCCCCCCCCCCCCCCCCCCCCCCCCCCCCCCCCCCCCCCCCCCCCCCCCCCCCCCCCCCCCCCCCCCCCCCCCCCCCCCCCCCCCCCCCCCCCCCCCCCCCCCCCCCCCCCCCCCCCCCCCCCCCCCCCCCCCCCCCCCCCCCCCCCCCCCCCCCCCCCCCCCCCCCCCCCCCCCCCCCCCCCCCCCCCCCCCCCCCCNCCCCCCCCCCCCCCCCAACTTTATTTTTTCAAAACAACATTACATGTGAGTGAGAGAGTCACACACCTGATATGAGTAATGGGTATGGACATCAATTGATGACATGAAACAAGACTGTGTAGGATGTGTCTGCAAAATGAAACAAAACTAGGCCCAATCACTTGGCAGAATAGGTATGTCTTGGAACATTTGAAGCATGATAATGATTTGTTATTGAAACCCAAATAATATTCACTGAAATGTAGTTCTCATGAAAGTTAGTATTTATGAACGATAATCCTTATTAAGATTATGCTTCAATAATTTGTCTCTTTATATAATATTCAAATCAGCATTTACAAATTTTAGTTTCAATCATCTATTCACTTCTTGACTAGGAACATGGTTATCAGATCACTTTTCTTTCAATAAAGATTCAGAGGGGGATAGCTCCTACCCGAGTGGTAAGGAATGAAATACTAAGTCTTAGAGGGAACCTCGTATTGCATCCCAGACAGAGAAACTTGGCTGAACAGGAATGTAATATAACCATTCCAGCAGTCCATTCCTGCCAAGCTAACAGTCTCTCAGACATCAGTGGTGATGAACTCGGTTTTACCCCCAAATTGGTAAAAAATTATTACTGAAAAGTGTGTGTATAAGTTTTTATAATAGGGGTATATTTGTCTTTTGGATAATCTAGGATTTTTCTAATTTTCTTGGGTTATATATATTCTTGTAATCTAGTTTATTGACTTGAGAGAAAGTATTGTTTGCATCCAATAAAACTTTCATGGTATCAAAATCTTCTCTCCTAGCAAATCGCAAAAACTAAAGTCGCATCCACCATCACACTCCTCTCTCGGCACTTTTCACGTGGCACTTTTCATTGGTACTGTTCATCGCGCTATTGATAGTGAATATTTTGCAATTAAATCATGTCGATCTCAGATAATAAGATTAAAACAATCAGTATTCGTTTGAATGGCGACAACTACAAGTATTGGTCTAATGTGATGAAAAAAAATTTGCTCGATTGAGGAAGATGGGGGTTATGTTTCTGGTTCTGAAATAAAACCTACTAACTCCAAAGCAACATATTATGACAAAATTGTTGCTAAATGGGAGATGGAGAATGCACAAGTTCTTACTTGACTACATAATTATGTGGAATTGGTATGAATTATTCAAAATTTGACATTACAAAGAAAGTTTGAAACTATTTAGAAGGCATGTATTAAGAATCCAATTTTGCAAAACAATATAAGTTAGAGATGGAAATTAGAGGTGCAACACAAGGAGATAAGTCTATTCAATAATTTTACAATCAAGTGACTACTTATTGGGATCAATTGGCACTCATGGAACCATTAGACTTATAGGTACTACATAGTTATGTACACTACGGGGAGGAACAAAGGTTGGTCCAATTTCTTATAGTTCTTAGAGACCAATTTGAGCCTCTTCGTTGTGCTATTCTTCATCGCACCCCACTACCTAAAATTGATGGAGTTATTCGGGTACTTATCAATGAGGAGATTAGATTTAAGGTGGTTCATGTTGTCACTTCTTCTCAGTCAATGTTTGCTGCCCCCACTACATAGTCTCCTTTGTTGCCTACTCCATCTACACATCTCACACAAATTACTGAAAAACCAAAATCATGCATTGGCATTGATGAATGTAGCTTTTGTTGTCAGAAATGACACTACTCACGAAAGCTTATAGTCCCAAACTTCTACTCAGAGGTCCATCTCTCAATCTCTCAAGCTTCTATTCGTCCTCATGCATAATTGGCAACTTCTACATCTAATCCCACCATTGTTTCTCCTAGTACTATTAAGTCGATCATTGAGCAGCTACAGTCTATGCTTGCTAATTCCACTACAAATTTGTCTCATGCCTCTACTATGTCCGTCATTTATTCAGATTTGATTGGTTCACATATCTTAAGTATATCACTTTCTACTTGGATATTTGATTCAAGTTCCTCACATCATATGAATCCTAATATTTCTTGTCTTACTAATTGTGTCTCTCTATCTTTTCCTATAAATATTGTTACCACTAATGATTCTCCAATGCATGTTGTTTCTATTGGATCTGTTCTTCCCTCTTTGTCTTCCTCTCTTTCTATCCCAAATATTTTTTATGTTCCATAATTATCTGTTAGTTTATTGTCGATTAGTCAACTCTCTAATTCAGGCTTTGATGTTTGTTTGCTTCTTATGGTTTTATTATTCAGGATCGGAAGTCTAAAAAACAAATTGGGACCGGACATAGAGTTGGTGACTTATACATTCTAGAGTACCTACATATTCCTCTGTAGTCTAGTTCTCCCAATTTGTCTTCTTTTTGTCTACAAAATAATTCGTCCCAATTTTATTTATGAAATTCTAGGTTAAGTCCTTTGTCCAGTGAGCATCTAAAGAGTTTAATTTCCTATGATATTTTAGTCAATGTATCTCCAAGTGACATCTCTGATTGTAGTGGATGTAAATTTGCCAAGATGGCTGCTTTACCGTTTAATAAATGTGCTTCTTTTTCTACTATGCATTTTTCTCTTGTTCATATTGATGTATGGGGACCTTCTCCTGTTTCTACTAAAGGTGGCTCTACATATTATGTTTCTTTTATTAATGATTATAGTCACTATTATTGGATATATTTGATGGTACATAAATCTGATTTTTCTCAAATTTACTGTATCTTTAAATCCATGATTCACACAATTTTATGCCAATATAAAATTTATCCATTCTAATCTGGGTGCGAAATACTTGTTGAAAGATTTCACTTACTTTCTAGATGCGTCTGACACTATACATCAATCATCCAACTTAGGTACTCTTGAACAAAATAGTGCTGCTAAGCGTAAGCATAGACATATCCTTGAAACTGTTTGTGCTCTTTTGCTTTCTTCATTTGTTCCTACTGTCTTTTTGGGTGATGTTCTTACAGTGGTTTATTTATTAAATCGTATACCCAACCCACTTCTATCAGGTACTTCTCCACATAAAAAATTGTTTGAAAAACTTTCTAATTACTCCCTTCTTCGTATTTTTGCTTCAGCCTATTTTGTTGTTCTTATGTGTTCACTTGGGGTATGGTCTCTATCAGAAGGGATAACAGTGTTAAGATCTTGTGTCTAAAAAGTTGTTGTCTTAGAACATTTTATTTTTCTTGAGCACATTCCATAGTTCACGATTCCTTCTAAAATACCTCATGTTTTAAGGAATGAACTTGTGTGTATTAACCCCTCTCCCTTAAATGAGTTTACCCCCTCTCTTGATGTTTCTAATTTTCTTCAGTTGATGCTTCTTCTTTATCTTCTCCTTATTGTCTTTCTATTCTCTCTCCTTATCATTTGGTCTATTTTTGAAAAAAATTTCCTCTTCCACATTCTGTGAATATTAGCTCTGACGGACCTAGCTTTGAACCTATGAACTCTACTTAACTGGAACAACAGTATCCTATTCACAGTCCCAACCCACCTGTGAGACTTGGTTTTGTTTATACTTGTTTTTCTCCTTCTTATTGTGTTTTTCTTACTTCTATTCATTCTTATTTTGAACCTCATTCTTCTAAAGAGATTTGTACTGAACTAAATTGGATTAATGCAATGCACAATGAATTGATTGCTCTTGATAAAGTTGGTATTTGGGATTTAGTTCATTTGCCAGAAGGTAAAAATGTTGTTGGTTGCAAAAGGATTTATAAGGTTAAGACTCGTTCCCTTGAGCGTTATAAAGCTCGATTAGTTGTTAAAGGATTTTCTCAAGAATATGGTGTTAACTATGAAGAAACTTTTGCCCCTGTTGCCAAAATAACTACTGTCCGTACTTTGATGTTTGTTGTTGCAATTCATGAATGACCTCTATTTCAACTTGATATTAAAAATACATTTTTGAATGAGAATCTCAATGAAGAGATTTATACGTGTCCACATCCTCGTCTTTCTCACGTCGGATTCTCGATGGTCTAACGCAAGCCCCCAGAGCATGATATGAACATTTTCAATCTACTATTACTCAAATTGTTTTTGTTTCTAGTACTCATAATCCTGCTCTATTTGTTCATCGTTCTGCCATGAATTGGTTCTTCTGTTATTATATGAGGATCATATAATTATCACTGGATCTAATATTGTTTCCACTGACAAAGTGAAGCAATATCTTTTACTTCAGTTTGAGATGAAGGATTTGGGTCCTTTGCGTTATTTCTTGGATATTGAGACTGCTTCTATTTATAGCGCCCACTTAACAGATGATAAGGTCGATGCTACTCCTATTGAGTTAAATGTCAAATTTTCAAGTTTTGGTGGTGTTCTTCTTGATGATCCTACATTGTATCATGAACTGGTTGGTTGTTTGATTTATTGTATTGTTACTCGTCTAAATATTGTATTTATTGTTAGTCAATTTGTCTCTGCTGCTTGTACTACTCATTGGGCTGCCTTCATATTTTACGATATGTACGCAATACCATATTTCAAAGTTTATTATTATCGTTGACCTCCTCTTTGACTTTACATGCCCATGAGAAATTACTGATCGCAAGTCTAACACTAGTTTCTATGTTTCTCTAGGTAATTCTTTTATCTTGGAAAAGGAAGAAACAATTAGTTATTGCTCATTCTACTGCTGAGACTGAGTATCGTGCTCTGGCACTCACCAATACAAAGATAATTCGGCTTTTAGTTGATATGGGTGTTGTTCTCCCCTCTCCTACCCCTCTGTACGCTGAAAATATAAGCGTTATCCAGATTACTCATAATTCAGTATTTCATAAGCGCACGAAGTATATTGAAATTGATTGTCATTTTGTTTGTCAACATCTTTAGTTGTGCAGTATTAATTATTTTGTCGTTGATATCTTTTTCACTATAGCTTAAAATTTTTTTCACCAAATCTCACACTTCAGCTCGTTTTCGATTTTTATTTGACAGACTCTCGATGCACTCTGGGCTTTGCGTCATGAATTTGAGAGGAGGTGGGTGTGAGTGTATATATAAATTTTTATAATATGGGTATATTTGTCTTTTGAATAGTCTAGGGTTTTTCTAATTTTCTTGAGCAATATATATTCTTGTAATCTAGTTTATTGACTTGAGAGAAAGTATTGTCTGCATTCAATATAACTTTCAAAAAGATCATAACATATAACCTACTCACATGAATCCATCCTAGAGGAAAAAGGGATTGCTTATCTTGCACTTCAAATATTTCTTCCTCATTTGTGGTCTGACACTGATCAAAAGAACGAATTCAGGATCAATACAGAAATAATTTGATCTAGAGAATGCGACATAAACCTGACTTACCGAGTCTGATGTCGATTCTTGCTTTGGAATGATGAGAGCAGTAATAAAAAATTTTCGGTTTTTCTGCCAAGAAATAATACAATTAGAATGGTACTCATAACAGGTTACAGAATTGCAAAATGCTAGGGACCAAGAACGGTGCACAGTCAATGGCACATACAAGCGACCCTGCAAGGACACCACAAGTTTCTAAATTCTTGTCTGTATTTGACTGAGCCCTCTTCATGAAGCTGTCCATCAATGCCGTTGACTGCAAACACACAGAAAGTAATATAACTACATGATACTATTGCTAGCATAGTTGACTTAGACATCAGATATGAAAAAAAAAAACAAATGGGAATAAATAGTAAACACCAACAAGAAAGAACGCAGAGAATCTCACAATGTGTAATTGCATGGGAGATTCAGAACAAACTAATCCATCAAGGGAGGGATTCTCCATCGCATATTCTGCCTCGGCGATTGAGGGTGAGGGTGACGTTGTGGGGATCAAATCCTGTACACTAGCTAAGACAGGAGGGGGAGAAGGTTGTCTGATAATTTCTGTTTGAAAAGGGGTTTCTATTGCGTCAAAGGAAATCAAGGAACCAGGTTCTTCAGCATGACGCTTTTGGTCATCATCTTTTGCCTTAAGAACTGATTCCAAATTTGATCTTTCATGGTCTGAGCTGCTACTGTCTTTTTTTGTCAAAGGTCCATCTTCCACAGGCTGCTGAAGGCTGTTTTCCCTGGAAAGAACATAATATATATTGAATGCATTATCATATGAACAAAAACAGAAAAAGAGCACAAAATAACACCATGATTATCTCTCCCAATTAAGCATAATGCATTGAAAAATTCATCTTCTGCCATTATTTTGAAATACCAAATTCTGAAGGTTGAGAAGTGCAAAATGAAAAAATTGATGCTTCAAAAATTCAACAAGAAGTCTAACCTTGGGATTTCAACTGGAGTAAAGTCTATATTGCTTGGATATTGGACCTAATTCACAAAATAAAGTTAGAACAGTTTCTGCTTTAGTAAAACACAATAAAAGGCTGACAAACATTTTACCCATTTATCACTGCTTGGAGGCTGCCACTGCCCACGAAGCCCATTTGGCCCCAAAATAGAATGTCTGGAAAGAGTTTCCGCCTTTGGAAGTGGGATACTAAGTGATCTAACAAAAACATATAAGTAAACAAAGAGTAAAGTAATTCAAAAGTCTCCAACAGTTTCAGTCCTCTGTTGACAAATGCATTGGCCTTTGTAAATAAAATTTCAGATTCAGAAAACCAACAATGAGCCACAAAAAACGGAACAGACATTGAAAAGGAAAAAAAAGGTTTGAATCCCTACTGAAAGCAAAAATGATCTTTGACATTTTATAGAATACACTTCACACAATCCACTTGCGGAATTTTCAAGTCTCACCATAATGAAGTGACATGTATATGTCTAATTCAGAAACAAAGCATGCAGCAGAAATGGAATACTCTTAGAAACACCAGGGACAATTTTTAGGTCCACGGTTGACTGAATTCACAAAGACAACCTTCATGGAAGTCTATTATTAAGATCACAAGATGCTATAAGGTGCACATCCCCAAAAGTATGTAGATATTAAACCACAAGTGACACAGTAACAATATATAACTCCAGAGTTAGAGGAATAGCTACGATAAAAGGGTGCAACTGTTACATCCTACTTCCAGTACAAAATTTTAAAAAGGCATGTGCCGAACTGAAGATAATGGCATTTGAAAGAATTTCTCTAAACAATATTAAAGGCTTACAATTGCCGGAATCGGTCTTCTACTGGCTTTGCATGTGAGAATGGCTGAGTTCTTGGGCCTTGATATACCAGTGGTTGAGCAACAGATCGCGGTGTCTATCGAATACAACAAAGCATAAGCAAACTTCAACTTGTTCTCAGTTCAATAAAAAATCAAACAGAAGCAATTTACTGGAAAAGAGAGTTAAAGAGCAGCAGATTGAAACAGAAAGAACATAGTCGTACGAGACGTTGCCTCGAGACCCCATTCTACAGTTTTCTATGAAAAAATTTCATTTAGAATCCACAATGCAGCTTCTGGCCAGTTCAAGACACAAACAAATTAATACGATAACAACCAACATATGATCCACTGTGTACCTTAGTTGTACCATAACTAATCAATTTTTTCTTTTCGCCAGGAGTGCAGTCCATCGAGGAATACAAAGAATTGCCTTGTTGACTATTTCCCCACCCATTTACTTGATGTGTATGTTTTCTGTTTAATTCATCAATCTTCTGTCGCACTGCTGGCTTCAATTCCTCCAGCTCAGTCAGGGCATTTAACAATTTCTATCGAAGGAAAACTAAACTGGTCAAAATTGAACATAGGAATTGTTTTTTGATAAGAAACAGAAGATAAAGGGTGATATTACCTTTTTCAGAGAAATTTTATTGCTCTGTAAAGACGCTCTGTAATCTCGATGGCATGGTATTGTCTCAGAAACCAAACTAAACCAGAAGAAACCATACAGCTTTCAGTACATGGTTGTGGCTTGAGTATTAATTCAAACCACCCCCCCCCCCCCCCGNAGTTCAAGACACAAACAAATTAATACGATAACAACCAACATATGATCCACTGTGTACCTTAGTTGTACCATAACTAATCAATTTTTTCTTTTCGCCAGGAGTGCAGTCCATCGAGGAATACAAAGAATTGCCTTGTTGACTATTTCCCCACCCATTTACTTGATGTGTATGTTTTCTGTTTAATTCATCAATCTTCTGTCGCACTGCTGGCTTCAATTCCTCCAGCTCAGTCAGGGCATTTAACAATTTCTATCGAAGGAAAACTAAACTGGTCAAAATTGAACATAGGAATTGTTTTTTGATAAGAAACAGAAGATAAAGGGTGATATTACCTTTTTCAGAGAAATTTTATTGCTCTGTAAAGACGCTCTGTAATCTCGATGGCATGGTATTGTCTCAGAAACCAAACTAAACCAGAAGAAACCATACAGCTTTCAGTACATGGTTGTGGCTTGAGTATTAATTCAAACCCCCCCCCCCCCCCCGCGCGCCAACAATAATCACCCAGAAAAAATAGCATCCATAAAAAGTAGATGGCTTTAGAATAAACACATACATAAAAAAGGAGATGTGACATTATCTGATTTGTTTTCTCACCTTGAATACCTTAGGAGCATGACATATAAATCTATAACATTCTTCTCTTCTCGAAAGATGTCAGCCTACAGTGTCGCAATTGCATTAGGATCCAGAAAATCATCACTTTCTAACAAGACAATGATAGAAAATACAGGTCCCAAACAACGAAGAGAGGTAAAAAATCAAACTATGATCATGACCAAAGCACAAACATAAAATGCATATCTAGAAACAAGCCATTTCCATAATTATAAGCATGCAAGGACACCAAGTATATTGCCAAACTGGTCCTGCCTCAAAGTGTGGATAGAAAGATATGCTTAATGAGGGCCTGAAAATGATGAAAAGGTAATTTTCTGCTGTAGTCCACTCCACAAGATAAATGTCAACTCCCAATGTGGGTCAATAATTGCATGCAAGGTTGTCAAAACGTATATCAAAAGGCATATCGTCTTTAAAAAATAGTGTATTGCGTATCGTTACATATTGTGTATTGTAAGAAACGTGCAATTTTATAAGATATATTTAAAAATAAAGATACCTATGAAAAATGGTTAATAACATTTCATTTCACAATAAATTTTACACATAACATAATTTAAAGAGACTATAAGGACCAAAACAAAAAATTGACAATCCAACTATATAAGTTTTCAACATAATTTGGTAATATCAAATTTTAGAGACTTCTAGTTCTGCATCCAGAGCTAGAGGAGAAGACTTTTAACAATCCAACTATTTGCTCCTGGATGAAATGAATAGCAACAAAAGACTTTTATTTTTTAAAGCCCTAGATATTTAAATGACATTGTTTCACTACCTAGTGTTTAAAAAAAATTACTCCCTTGGTTGGATTTCTTATCCAACCTCTCTTTATGTACTCCATCTTTTATTTGTTAATACAAGTGTTTGTTTCCTATCAAAAAAAAAAATACTCTCATGTGAAATAGCATCTTTTCCGGTTAAAATCTCAAAAAAAAAAATAAAATTGAACTGTTTTGCCTCATATCGGACGACTAGTACGTATAGTCTTGTATCATGTATACCATAAGGTGCATATCCAACACATTTAAGCAAATATATCATTTTGCTTCATGTATCGAAAAAGTATAGTATGATACATATTACATATGTCCCTTACTAACAACCATGATTGCCAACTAAGTTAAGCATCAAAAGCAAATACAGTGTGCATCCTTTAAGAAACTCGCCCATCATTTATACAAACAGAAAGGATATTGCACAGTTTCTTTGTTCTCAGCCATAATTAAACAGTGCAAAATATACTAGTTCCAGAAAAAAAAAATATGTGATTTGAATTAAGAACCCAAATCTTATATAATCAAAGAAAATACAAACATACTCTCTGACATTCCTAGAAGATAAAATCCAAATGGCTAAGGGAATTGCAAAAAATTCCAATGGCTAATGCTGTAAGACATACTAATGGATATAAATATTTTATTACCACTGTGAAGACAAGTTGGTTGGATGGGAAGTAGTGGATGGCTAGTGTGGTCAATTGAGGAGGAAACTGAAGCAATATGATGATTTCGACTATTTTTAATCATGGAAATCAATATAGTATGTGAGCAGAGAGTCTGAAATTACTAACTAGACTGATGCTAAAGGAGCCAACTACTTGAAAAATTTATCTGCTGTTCTCCAGAAAATTATAATGCATTGTTGTAGTGGTTATTACTTGTTTTTCTTGTTTCTAAAAAAAAGTAAATGTTATGCATGCATTGGCTGTAGGATACTACCTTGTATGCACGTGGAACAGAAAATTATTTTTGGAGTCTGTAGGATACCCAATCTGCTAATTCTGAATGTTTCTCTTAGAGCTTGCCCATTTGGCAGCAACGAAATTAATTTTAAACAGATAAACTATCATCTTGCCACTAAAGCTTGATTATGATAAAAAAATAATTTAAAATTCCAAGTCAAGCCAGCCTACATAAGGAATGTTATTTATAGTAAAACTACATGCCACTAAACTAGAAAACCAGTCAAGGCCCATCCATCGATATAGGGACGGTTGGTGTAGTCCCTACTCACTACAACAAAAGACACCCATCCAGCATTAATTATCTTCTTGCAGTTAAAGCTTCTGCAGTGGCTGTTTAAATCAGGATACACCAAAATATTATGATAAACAATAATATCACCAAGATCAATCAGCTGCAGAAACTTGTAAACAACAACGGATGCAGATCCATAACTTGTTTCCAATAAGTTGGTTAGAACCAATCCAACGCATCCTCAATTTTTGATTTAGGAAAGAACCAAATGCCCCAAGGAACCAGCCAAAATAAACCATCAAGCATCACACTCCAACAGTTCAAGTTGGTTTCAATTTTTTATTCAGATTGATGAGTTAATATATTTTTAATAAGAGATTGATGAGTTAATATATTCCTAAGACTTCTACAATAAAACTGAAAACAACAAAGGGAAGAGCAACCCATTTATACTGGATGCAAAGCAAGCTAAATCTCTGCCTACAGGTCAAATTGCCAAATAAATCAATAACACACCACAAATATGAGTGAAGCAGGCAGCTCAGAAGCATTTCTTCAGCTTTATGATTTAACCTTTGACTAGCTCAAATATCACCACTTATGTCTTCCAAAGAAACTATTTCCAGAGTTGCTATTCACAAAGCCCTAGCTCTGGAAAAGCCCACTTCCAGTACCCTAACACCTCATAAACAGTGTTCCACATGAACAATATGCCCAAAAAGTTCGGAAGTGAACTCCATAAATCCAGCTACATGGTAGTGCACTAGACAATGATTGATGGTTTCCTCAGTCCTTCCTTTCATGCAAAACTACAGAATTTTATGCCTCCAAATCAGAATTCAAATTGTACACCCCAAGTTGTAAATACTTCCCCAACTTAGCACTCCAAGCAAAGAAAGTCACCTCGCAAAGTGCTTTTAAACCCCAAATTCATTTCTAGGGGAACCAGGAGACACCAAGTCACCAACACCAACGTTAAAGGTCTTCCATTTCAAACAAGTCAACCTCCCGCCAGACTCCACCAATGAAAAACGGGTCGAGACCCAATCCTTAATTAGAAATGGTAAAATAGTTAGCTAAGGAGACCTCTGTGTCCACTGGAATTCTAGGAAATTTTGAGAAAACAAGTTCACTAACAATGTTGCACACAAGATATCAGGTCAAGTACTCACTCCCTACCATTTCTTAGTCCTAACATCTCCTAATCCTTTTCCCTAGCCATACCATTTACAAGATTTAGCCCTCATTTTGATCATAACATTTTTAACGGATAATCTGGCACTTGATAAAGTACAGTGGAGAAACAAAATTTATATAGCTGACCCCAAATAATTGGCATGACAACTTTGTCGTAGTTTTGATCCACCCACTGGAAGTACTCCAAAATTTGCTAACACATTACAGTTGCACTCTAGTTTTCCTTTAGGTTGTTGGATCTCCAGTAAAAATGTTGGTTTCAGCATGCTTACATTCATAATGGAAAAGATACCAAACAGCGAAGATGAGAACGAGCAAAGCCTGATGCGACAAAAACTGGGATGCCTTTTGCCATAATTACTTATTCTGGGAACTCTCTACCAAACTCTAGCCATAAATCCCTCCATTCAAAGTCATCCATGGGGCTTTACATCCTAGAATATTCTATTGGAAACCAACCTGTACATTCTTTAAAGATCAAAAAATTCAAAATTATATAGACTCGATCAAGCCTTAGTGTCAATTTCCACTACACCCACCACCCATTTGTTTCATGTCACAAACAGCACCAAGAAGCTCTCAACTCCACTAAATAAAGCCTCTTCTCAACTTAATTAAGGTGTTTGTATCGCTCAGCAGACACCAAAGAACCTGAATCTAAAAGAGCAAAATCAATTCATCCAAAGTATGTCAAACAAAATGAATTGAAAACTAGAGTCTTTCTAGTGTGTTAAAGGCAAAGCAATAAAAAGGATAACCCATGCATCTAAAGAAAGGGAATAATCTCTTACCCCATCTTCCCACCTTCCCACACCAACGTCACCTTTACAAGTCATCTCAAGAGTCTATATATAATATTGCAGGTGCACATATTAGCACAGTTTGGTTTTGTCCAAAACAGAAATCATCCCATTATTAGGTTGAATATGGTCAAATCACAAAAAATTGCTCCAATACAAAACCAGTCTCCCTAAGAAGTAAGAACTATTGAATCATGTCTTTGATTGTATTTGACCACTCACAATAAATGGTTATGGTGCAATGAAAAACCGAAGAAACATAAACATAAACTCCAAATAGGATGGGCTAATGGAAATGTATTATTCGGGTCCCATGCCCCCTGCTTTTGTGTCTTGCCTTCTGTTTGCACCCCTCTCCTACCCAATTATCGTGTTGTTTTCCCATGTTTCACATCAATAAAAGCACGATATTTTTGGTTTATCTAGAATCCATTGCACCTATCTATTTTTGTTCTAACCACGTGCATTTGTCTGCATAGACTTTCAAGCAAGCTAAACCCATGGACATGCTACAATACGTGGGGTGAACAATTGCCATGTCAACAATTCCAACACTGACTATTTGATATAACTTGTGAATCGTGATCCACATTGTATTCCAAAATGTTATTTTAAAAGAAAGCATTCCCAACTTGTAAATGAAAGTAAAGATCAAAATCCTCTGCTCATGGAATATTTTCTCTTTGAAGAAAGAAATAAAAAATCTGAATCCATATCAACCCGATTATATTTTTAGGTAGCTCCTTTGTTAGAACCAGTGTTAAAAGTTTTCTCGCTTTTCAGTAAGCACCAATAGATTCAAATGATGTTTAACTGTAAGTGAAAGAGAATCAAGATATTCAAAATGCCCCATGTAACAAAGAAAACAGCGGACTAAAAAAAAGAAAACATATTATGACCGTAAATCCAAGGGATCAAACAATTTTAACACAGAAAGTCACAAGAATGGAGTAAATTCCCCTTTACAACAACATTCCCCTTCTCTAGTGCAATAAAATGACAAACAACCATCACCTCGCAAAAGTAAGAAAAATCCTCTAAACAGTTGAACTTAATCTGCAATTTCATGTGACATTTGACAAAAATCTATCATGTCTCTTCCTATTCCTAGGACACTTTTTTATAAAGAGACAAGTGTGCTATAGAGAAACCTCAGTCTAATAAAGCATTTATCCCCAACTATTTAGGTCAAGCACACGAATCCTGTTTCTCTCTTGTGCTTCCATCAAGGACCATGTTTCCCGTTAAATCGTGAGCTATCATATCATTTTCTGTTATTTTGTCCAAAATTAATTTCAACCTACCTTTATCTTTCGCATTACCTTTGATATATATCAAATCACTCCTTTAGTAAATTCATTACCAGGTCTTCTATAAACATATTCAAACCACCTAATCCGATTCTCTCTTAATTTATCTCTTATTGGTTATGTTTACGATTTCACGAACATGCTCATTTCATATTTTATCATTCTTATTGTATCGCACATTTATCTTAACATCCTCTTTTCTATAATACTTCATTTTGGAGCGTGTTGTTTCGTAATTCCCAAGGTTGTGTACCGCGAGGCATTGCTAGTTTAACGGTTGTCTTGTAAAACTTATTTCTCATCCTAAAAAGTATACCTATCACATAACAGATTGCTCCACTAGGTCCATCATTCTTTAATTCCATGATTAAAATCGTCTCCAATCTCTCCCTCCTGTAGATAATTGACCCTAAATAGTAAAAGGATTCTGTTGTTTCCCATCTCTTGATCTTCAATCTTTATTAACTCCTTATTGGAATTTCTACTATTACTAAAACTACAGACTATATATTCAGAATTATTTCTATTTATCTTGAATCATTTTGATTTTGTTTCTCCCCAAACTTCTAGTTTATTACTAATTCCTACTTTAGTTCATCAATGAGTTATATATCATCAGGAAATAATATACACCATGGATGAAACCACACAACAGAAAAAACAAAACCCAAATACCCTAACTATACTTAACAAAACTGCTTCAAAATTCACTATAGTACAAGTCCCAATAGCATTACAAGAAAACTCCAAATTCTAATACCCCTAGTAATTTACAAGCTTAACACAGCATAGTTAACTGAAACCCCAAGCACACGGTAATTCACAACCTTAACAGCGAAGTCAACTGAAAACCCAAAATAAAACACACAGCATAGAATACATGAGTAATTCACAACTTTAAAAATACCATAGTCAACAGAAACCCTACAAATACACATACGGGCAAAAAAACAGTTCATGAAAGAGGACCTGCTTCAGGATATTATCAGCGATGCGATTATAGTAGCGGAGCGAGAACCGATTGTCGACATCGCGCTTCTGAGCACTCGCAGCGACATTGATTCTTCCTGAAGAAGGCCTCATTCTCTAATTTTGGGAATTTTTTCTGTTTCTAATCAAACAACATTTTATCGGATCGGAAAATACAGATACGTTCTGAGTCCGATTTCTCGATGCCGGACCTTGGAATCGTCAATGGCGGCTTTATTTCAGAGCGTAGAGAGCAAGGAATTGTGAAATGCGACAGGAAGAGGGAGGTCATTCAGATTTGTTGACGAGGGCAAAGAAGGAAAGACAAATACGCAGCAGTGTAGATGAGAATTTGATCAATTTTAACTGTAATTGTCTTTGTATAAATTAATGTATTGGAATTAACGTGATCTAAACTCTTTTTTTTTTTTTTTTTTTGGGAAGGGGATTTAAACCATTAATCTCAAGGTAAAGCTTTTATAAGATAAAAAATATTATTATACCAAAGATCCATTGATAACGTGATCTAAACTCCCTTCAACAGTCAAAATTATATTTTTGCTCCTTTTATTTTTTGGATTTTAAAGTATGTATTTTTTATGAATTTAGTAGTCATTGTATCAATTTTATCCTAAAAATATTTAATTCGTATCAATTTGGTCCTTAAATAAACGAATCGATAAATTTTTGACGTAATGATTATGTGTTTGTGCACGTGATATTATCTAAAAAAATGACACGCAATCACTTACATTAAAAAACTTAATAACCTATCTATCTAGGGGGCCAAATTGACACAAATTAAATATTTTAGGAATTAAATTTACAAAAAATTGATACATTAAAAACTAAACCGATAAAAAAATTCATATTTTAGAGACAAAACCACTATTAACAAAAAAAAATGTAATAACAAATCCCATTTTCCTTGGCCTTTTCCCATACTACCGAAGTCCACTTTCCCTGCAGGGCCAGCAACTCCCACCCCTATCTCCACCCCTTCCCACTCCACTAAAATCCCTTTTTTTCTTTTTTTTTTTATACCAGCGAGAAAAAATATCCTTTTTTTTATTTCTCTCACAGAAACCCCCATCATTTCTATGTCATTAACGGTATTCCCCACGTAAATCCTCTCAGCAAACCCTCCATCATCCCTTTGTTGAAGACCACCAAACACCAACAATGGGTCGGCAAAACTATATTTTTCACACTCATCGTTGCCCAAGTGACCCTCTTCCCCCTATAAAACCTCCGTTGTTGTCTATATGAGAAGAGTAATGTGGAGAGAAACAGACACACACCTGACACCACCATCTATCGGTCTCTATTGGGACTCTTTTCGTTTGATTTGCTTTAGCATTTTGCTTCTTAATTTGTTGGTTTTTTCTTTTGATTTCTTCCTATTCAACCACAAATTTGATTCAGGAATTGGTGCATGGTCACCAACGTCACTATTATAATCTGTCAATTAAAACTAAATTTTTTCTATTTTACAAATGACGTATTTCGGTTAAATATTAGTAATGTATTCTGAGGAATAATAATTAGTGTTTATGAATTATAATAATTGAATGTGTGGGGGCTTAGGGCGTGGGAAATGACGTTGAGTATCATTGGGATTTCACAACCATGGTGGCTTCATGATTATAGTTGTTGTGGCTTGAGGTTGGCGGTTAACTTTTTTTTTTTTTTTTTTTTTTTGGGGGGGGGGGGGGGGGGGGGGG